TCAAGAAGCATGGACATGGTAGCTTGGAAGCATAGAACTGAACATGGAACAACAGACTGGTTCCAAATTGGGATAGGAGTACATCAAGACTGTATATTGTCACCCTGCTTATTTAACTTATATGCAGAATACATCATGTGAAATGCCGGGCTGGGTGAAGCACTAACTGGAATCAAGATTGCCAGGAGAAATATCAATAACCTCAGATACACAGATGACACCACCCTTGTGGCAGAAAGGGAAGAAGAACTAAAGAGCCTCTTGATGAAAGTGAAAGAGGAGAGTGAAAAAGTTGGCTTAAAGCTCAACCCTCAGAAAACTAAGATCATGGCATCTAGTCCCATCACTTCATGGCAGATAGATGGGGAAACAATGGGAACAGTGAGAGACTTTATTTTCTTAGGCTCCAAAATCACTGGAGATGGTGACTGCAGCCATGAAATTAAAAGATGTTTGCTTCTTGGAAGAAAAGTTATGACCAACCTAGACAGCATATTAAAAAGCAGAGACATTACTTTGCCAACAAAGGTCCGTCTTGTCAAAGCTATGGTTTTTCCAGCGGTCATGTATGGATGTGAGAGTTGGACTATAAAGTTGAGCGCCAAAGAATTGATGCTTTTGAACTGTGGTGTCAGAGAAGACTCTTGAGAGTCCCATGGACTGCAAGGAAATCCAACCAGTCAATCCAGGTTTCTATGTTCATGGAAATTCTCCAGGCAAGAATACTGAAGTCGGTTTCCATGTCCTCCTCCAGTGGATCTTCCCAACCCAGGGATCAAACCCAGGTCTCCTGAATTGCAGGTGGATTCTTTACCAGCTGAGCTACCAGGGAAGCCCGATATAAGACTACCAATTAATAATATTAGACTTAGACTTACACTGAATCACCAGGGAAGTCCCAATCTTTATTTATTTTTATGCTCACATTATCCCATCTTATGGTACCGAGGGTCACTTCAGATTAGTTCCTTGTTCTTTTGATGTTTTGACATTCCATTTGTTTCTGAAGGGTTCTTTTCTTTCTTGCCTGTTGAGAAATTTTAGATTATTTTGCACATTTCCTGCACTAGACCTGTAATCAGCCATTTCTTCACAGGTTCCTTTAGCATGAAGTGGTTTTTAGAGACCACAGTTTGCTTGCCAGAGGTGATGATTGCTAGTTGTTGTTCAGTTCCTCAGTCATGTCCAACTCTTTGCGACCCCATGAACTGCAGCACATCAGACTTCCCTGTCCTTCCCCATCTCCTGGAGTTTGCTCAAACTCATGTCCATTGAGTCAGTGATGCCATCCAACCATCTCATCCTCTGTTGCCCCCTTCTTCTCCTACCCTCAATGTTTCCCAGCATCACGGTCTTTTCCAGCAAGTTGGCTCTTTGCATCAGGTGGCCAAAGTATTGGAGCTTCATCTTCAGCCTCAGTCCTTCCAATAAATATTCAGGGTTGCTTTCCTTTAGGATTGACTAGTCGGCTATCATTGCTTCTAAGCCTTTCCACTAGATATAGCTAGGAAATTTTTTTTTTTTAAGAGAGAAAAATAAATCATTAATTCACTAATATTTCCAGTTCAGATTTAATTTTACAAAAATTTTACTTCCTTAACTCGTTGTTTGAATTCATTTTTCTCTAATACTGGAAATCTTGGTTCTTAATGAGACTAACAAAATTATTTTCTTCATCATATAATATACTTATAATAATTTTATTACACCCTTCCCCACACAGAAGTTACATACTATAAAGATCGTTCTGTGTTGTTGTTTTTTTAAATCAACATTGCTACTAATATAAGAATTAAAATTTGCTGTTTGTGTTTTGGTCTTAGAATGTATCCTGTTATGGATGCAGAGTGAAAAGTCACTTGGATATCAAGCTAAAGTCTCTTGAAATCATTCTTTTCTCTGTGTGGTTATGCCAGCAACCTGATATAAAATTAGACTTGTTTGTTTTCTGGTTTTAGAGACCAATTGATTTCCCTTTTTGTTTGGTTTTGTCTTTTAACTATGCCAAATGTTTACATAGTTTCAAAGACAAAATTGTAATTGTAAGTAAATACTCTGGCACCCTGTCTCCCCATCTTGTTCTGTTCACCAAGGAGACTGTTTTTATTCATTTGTTCCTTAGCCTCCATTTTTTATTTTTGAAAGAATATACATGGGAACTTTCCTGGGGGTCCAGTGATTGAAACTCCATGCTTCCAATACAGGGGGTGCAGGCTCAAGCCCTGGTCAGGGAACTAGGATCCCACATGCTGCCCAGTGCAGCCAAGACATTAAAATAACAAAAACAAAAGACCTTTTAAAAGACATACACACACACACATATGTTCATACATGTCCGTACCCCTCTCCCACTCAGAGCTAACCCACCATAAACACAGCTCCGTGTTTATTTTATTCCCTTCTTAGGCTCTGGTGTCGCCTGTACCCAAGGATGCGCCTCACCCCTTGGTCACCTGCAGAGCCTCTATTGTCTGTTACCTGACGTGCCATAGCTTATTCATCCACCTACTGGGGGGCATGTGGTCTGTCTCCAGCCTTTTGTGTTTATAGATGCTGCTGTCATCAGTGGCCTTGAGCATAGGGCATTTTCTGTCTTCAAGGTGGGTCTTTTCCACGCTTTCTCGAATTCTAGTCACTTGCAGAGTGGAGGTGTTTGGGCAGTGATTACGGTTTCCAGAGGCTGGGAGGGAGCCCCAGGTGTGCCTGTGACCTTTGTGACGAGTTGTTGGCGGAGGGGCCCTCCTGATTCTTTGACTGGGCCTCACTCTCTCCCAGACATGTGAGGACACTTGTGAACCTCAAGTTCCGCACTTACACACTTACTGTGCTGGCTGGAAGTGTTACTGACCAGGGTTCTTGGCCTCCTTAAGCTATAGAAATGGGCTTCCCAGGTGGTACAGGTGGTAAAGAATCCGGCTGCCAATGCAGGAGATACAGGGGATGCAGGTTCAATCCCTGGGTCGGGAAGATCCCTTAGAGAAGGAAATAGCAACTCACTCCAGTATTCTTGCCTGGGAAATCCCATGGACAGAGGAGCCTGGTGGGCTACAGTTCATAGGGTCGCAANCAACTCACTCCAGTATTCTTGCCTGGGAAATCCCATGGACAGAGGAGCCTGGTGGGCTACAGTTCATAGGGTCGCAAAGAGTCAGATATGACTGAGCAACTTAGCATAATCAATAGAAATAGAGGCCAGAGAAGAAATTCAGGCAAGGCTTTACGTGGGCCCCTGCTAAAACAGGGGGAAATGACAACAAGCAATAGTTTCTCTCGCTTGCTGGCTCCTCGAGAAGGGATGAACTTGTTCCTTGTATGGGGTGAGGGTAGAGGTGTGTCCAGGGGTCAGGCTAGAGGGGCAGCTTGGGTGGTTTGCCCACCCCTTAGCTGGAGCTATGTGCAACGGACATGCACAGCCCCCTGCTTTTGCTCCCCTCTCTTCAAAAGTAGCAGTTGGGTTTTCTGGTCTCTTCGTATCTTCTGTCCAGAATTTGCCCCAGCTGCATCTGCGTGCAGTTGTTTTCAGTCCCATGCCGTTTCCTCGTATTTTGTCGCTCTCGAAGAGGTGTGCCCAGGTGCAAGCATCGCAGCTCTACGGCACAGGGCCCCAGGGCCCAGGCGTCTCACATCACCAGCCAGCACAGTTAGGTCTGTGGCGGAGCAGGGCACGCACAGGAGTCCCCAGGGTCTCCCAGGGCACAGGATGCCCAGGGCGGGGTGCGGGGGGGGAGGGGGCGCTGGTGCTGAAGATGGCAGTGTCTGCGGGCCGGGCTTTCCTTCCTTCTCCGTCTCGTCTGAGTCACCTCCTTCCACCTATTGTTCAGGTTGCCAGTGCCACCAGGAAAGTCTGACACGAACTGCCACAACCTCTTAGGACGTTTGTGAACATCCTGTGGGTTCCGTTTCCAATTGGAGCCTGGAGCTTGGGGCCGGGGAAGGGGCTGCGCCGATGACGCCCGAAGGGCCTGCCATCTACACATTGGCCGAGTCACACTAATAACATCATCAGTAGTGAGGGGGGCGTGGCTTTGCACTTGGCGGTTTTCACTTCATAATTATTTGTTCATTTATTTCCGGCTGTGCTGGGTCTTCCTTGCTGCCCAGGCTTTTACGCTCGCTGTGTGGAGCGAGCGGGTTGCAGCCCTCGGGCTTCTCGCTGCGGTGGCTTCCCCTGCTGCAGAGCCCGGGCTCCAGGGCTCTCGGGCTCAGTGGTTGGTGCTCCTGGGTGGGAGCTCGGGCTCGAGAGCTGTGGCCCGGGGGCTCAGCTGCTGCGAGGCATGCAGGGTCTTCCTGATCTGTTCTTTTGTTGTTAGTCACCCAGGCACGTCTGACTCTTTGAAACCCCGTGAGCTCTAACCCACCAGGCTCCTCTGTCCTTGGGATTTTCCAGGCAAGAAACTGGAACGCCATTCCCTTCTCCAGGCTATCTTCCTGACCCAGGGATTGAACCCATGTCTCCTGCACTGGCAGGCGGATTCTTTACCACTGAGCTACCCGGGAAGCCCACAATCCTCATTTCAAATTCAGGGATGTGCTCTGGACCACATGCCTCTGTCCAGCAGGCCCTCATTCTCCTGTGCAAACAGGGCCTCCAGCCCCCCAAGGGAGTGCATGCTCACCCACAAGGGACGACCTGACCCTCTCCGGGCGGGCAGCACAGCCCACTCCACAGCCCGCCGGGCAGCCCAGCCCCCCTGCCAGCCCTTCCTCTCTGCAGGCCTGCTGTTCTGGACCTCTCACCTCATCAGACCTTGGTTTTCCCCTTAATGCAAAGAATTCACACCACCTTCAGATATGTCAAGAAAATTCCTAGCTCTACACAGCTTCTAATAGTTGCCCGTGGCATTTGATGGAATGGACTGAGTCAGAGCAGTTAAAAACTAAACGTGGCTGGAGGGTTGCTGCAGGGCGTGCCCTTACCCTCATACCCCTACGTTCGTCCTGAGCCCCCCTGGGGGAGAGACGGGGGCACACCCATAGTCACAGCGCCTCTTTCTTTCTAGGGACTCGAGGGGCACACTGGGAAGCCGGGCCCTCTCCCACGACAGTATTTTCATCCCTGAATCGGGGCAGGACCCTCCTCGGCCCGTGCGTGTGTTCTCCCAAGAAAACGTGTGTGACCGGATTAAAGCTCTGCAGGTAAACCTTTCTGGGCAGCGGATATGCATTGGGAAGTCTTAAAATGATTCCTGCTTTTCGTTGATATATTTTAAAGCCTAATCGAATGCACATCACAACTCTCCCAAGACTCGCCCAGTTAGTTACAACTGGACCATGTCTCATTCTCATTGATAACCACTCACTTTCAAGATGACAGCAGAACTGGTGGCAGACACTGAGTTTATTTAGCTCCCCGGCCTGGGCAAGGATGTTAAAAATACCTCCAGGATGAATGAATTACAGCAGGGGAATTTGGGGAGAAAAGTCACTGATGAAAACTACAGCAAATGTTCTTTATTCCAATCTAGTTAAAAATACAGTGCAATGTGAAAATGGGGCCGCCTCCTCCTCCCGGGAGCCTTCCAGCCAAGCGGGGGGATGATGCCGGCATGAGCTCTGAGGATGATGGTCTGCCCAGGAGCCCCCCAGAGACGTCCCTGCTTCATGACGGCGCTACCACAAAGGCGAGTGCACCCCGCTCCCCCCCCCCGCCTCCACTCAGGGCCATCCCGGCCTCTGGGGGCCACTGCGTGTGTTCCCCTAAGATTCCCGTGACGGGTCATGCTCAGTGCAGCCCGGAGGGATTCCAGCCAGCTCCCTGGAACCCACTGTCGGTCCTTGGGCTGTATTTATTTTCATTCTTTGGGCAGAAATTCAGGTCTCATTCAGGGATATGGTTTGGGGAACATTTTCCATGGTGGCTGTAGATCTGACGCAATCAACCTCATTGTTCCTGTCTGAGCAGATGACCAGACCAAGTATTCCATTTAAAAAAGGAAAACAGCTTTGAGTCTGCTTTCTGTCATCATGATATTTGGCTGGAGGGAGAAGGGGGCTTCCCAGGTGGCTCAGTGGTAAAGAATCTGCCTGCCAGTGCAGGAGACGCGAGTCTGATCCCTGATCTGAAAGAGCCCCTGAAAGAGGATATGGCAACCCACTCTGGTATTCTTTCCTGGGAAATCCCATGGACAGAGGAGCCTGGCAGGCTACAGTCCGTGAGGTCACAAAGAGTCAGACATGACTGCGTGAGTGAGCACAAGAAGAGAGTGGTAACACATGATTTAGTCTAGGCTCCTGCATCTGAGTTTGTTGGTTTAGGGGTAGAAATGTGAGATGTGGCACTGGTGGACAGGGCAGCAGGGCAGGAGAGGTATCTCTGACCCCATAAGGTGGGGAACTGATCCCAGAAGCCCCACATCCACTTTGAAATCCAGGAGGAAGAACTGAGCCTTTTTTCCTTGTATACAAACAACATAGCTCACAGTGCCACCATCTGAGTCCATAGGGTGGGCTGAATGATGAAATATTTATCACTGGTGTTACACAAATGCATAAATGACGAAACAGACGTTCATTTTCCCCTTGTAGACAAGCCTCCTGGTGGGGTGGGTGGAGTTGGAATTACCAGTTCCTCGTTAGCTAGAGCCACACCCACACCCTGCCTGTGTGCCCACGGAGGGTCTGAGTGCCCTGGTCAAGGGCCATCCTTGGTGGAGTTCTGCAGATTCTGTGCTGCTCTGAAATAGATTCAGCAGCACTTCCGCTGGGAAGCTCAGAAGCTCCCCTGCAAAGGCAGATTGTTGTTCAGTCACTCAGTTGTGTTGACACTTTGCAACCCCATGGACTGCAGCACACCAGGCTTCCCTGTCTTCCACTATCTTCTGGAGTTTGCTCAGACTCATGTCCATTGAGTCGATGATGGCATCCAGCTCATCCTCTGTCATCCCCTTCTCTTCCTGCCTTCAGTCTTTCCCAGCTTCAGGGTCTTTTCCAATGAGTCGGCTCTTCACATCAGGTGGCCAGAGTTTTGGAGCTGCAACTTCAGCATCAGTGCTTCCTGTGAATATTCAGGGTTGATTTCCCTTAGGATCAATTGGTTTGATCTCCAGCAGTCCAAGGGGCTCTCAAGAGCCTTCTCCGGCACCAGAGTTCAAAATCAGGAAAAGGAGTGTTTACCTGACTTGGGTGTGGCTGTGGGTTCTCAGAAGGCAGAGGAAGGGCTGCGGTGTAGCTGAGTGTGAGCACACCCAGGGCAGGGGTTCCCACGCAGCAGGCCAGAGAATGACTCCAGAATTCTGCCCTGCTGGCTCCACGAGCGGGTCAAAGGGCAGCGGGCCACCCACACCTGCTTTCCCAGCTGGACAAGAAAGCAGAGAAGACACGGGGGAAGGTGTGGCCCACCTCCTGGACTCCAAGCCCACCCTGCACCCCTTAGGTGCAGGGGAGAGGTGACAGGCTGATGGCCGTGTAAGGTGTCACCACCAGGGAACACACATATCTTGGCATCTTCATTGGCGGAGCCTCAGGAATGGGTGTGATTTTGTGTGTTTTGTACCATGTGGTGGGGGAGCGTGAACCGCTATAGGCTGACTCACCTCCACTCCATCCCATGGTTCTCTGACTTTCCCAGCAATGTGCTTCTCTGCATTTAGCTGGGAGAGTTAGCTGGGACAGACAGCACAGGAGAGTTGGTAGCTTCTAAATCTGTTAAGGATTCAAGGGTGAACCCAGCCTCAAACCCACAAAGTGCCATGATGCACAAATTCCATAGTCAGCTGACTGGGAGCCATTCATACAGGGCAGGGCTGACCTTGTCCTTCTCAGCATCCCTCCTTTCGTAGTGACGTTCTTTTTTTTTTTAATTGGGTAATAGGACCCATTCACTGGCATCATAGGTAACCAAAATTTGAGCCTTTAAGACTTACAAAAAATAAAATATTTATTACTGTGCTTTGAAGATACAATGACCATATTTTGTGCCCTGAAAGTTTTTAGGGCCCAGGGAGTCAACCAAGAGGGGGAAACAATGCACTCTTAAGTGCATTTATGTAACACACAGCATTTGATATAATAGAACCATGAACCCTAAAAGGATGGGACTGTGGGCTGTTTGATCTTTTCCTGTTGTGACACCTCACACAGGCCCACTTGCTCGACAGAGAAACTTAGTGAAGATTATTATGAAAAAAAGGTCTTCAGTAAAATGTATTTGGCGACACTGCCAAGGAAACATTTCCTGGTGGAATAGGTTTTTCAGCAAATAGATGGGATTATTTTTAAAATTGCATTACCATGTGAGGCAACAACAGATAATGTTTGCTTGGTGATGTTTAAGGTAAAATGACACCTCAGAGGTCCTTGCCTGGGTGTTCTGCCATTAAGTAGCTAGCGGGGGGCCCAGGGTGGCAAACCGGCAGGTCTCATTTGCTCTGGGTGATGAAGGAAGACAGCAGGGAGACGGTAGAGCTCAGCCGGCAAAAGGTGACACATCGTCACTGCCGGTGAGGCCGCAGTCTAGGTCCGTCACCTCTGGGGTCTGGCGAGGCACGGGATGGACTCGGGCAGCTCCGTGCCTCCCCTTCTCCCCCCAGACCTGCCCCGTGCGGGGACCCGTTTCCCATGCACCACACTCCACCCCCTCCTCCGTGGCAGGGCCCCTCTTTGTGAGGACGGTCAGGGTAAAGCAGCTGTCACCCAGGCTCACCCCACAGAAGCCTCTGAATCCCAGGCTACTTCCTCAGGGCTCTTTGATCCATAGTCCCCCAACAAAGAGCAACTTGTTAGACTCTTACTAAATGCTCCACTTCCAGAATCATCCAGAAGCACAGATTCCAGGAAAACTGGGGCACTGGGAACAAGCAGTGTACGTGAGCCCCAGAAGTGCCGGCCCGCAGATAGAAAGACAAGTCAGCTTCTCCTCCTCTCCAAGATCTCAGCCCAGCTCACATAGTTGCTTCACTGATCAGAGACACAGCTTGATTCTCCTTGATCAGGAAGTGGCCCCAAGGACTCTCAGAACGACAGCTCAGACAGAGGCTAGGGCCCAGTTCCCTTTCAGGAAGACGAGCAGTGATGGCCCAAGTTCAGCGTCAGAGACGTTCAGCTCCTTCCCAGACCCCCGCCTCAGAGCCAGGGTGGACCGTCTGCTCGGACGGGGCACTCAGGGGAGCCCCATGAAGAGCAGGCAGGGGATGTTGGTCCTCCAGGCTCACAGAGGTGTGACCCCGGCCCAGGTTGTCGCTGGGGATCACTCTCGCTTGCGGAGTGAGAGTCACCCCATGTGCAGAGCAGTTCGTCTTGTTTGCTCTCTTGAGTCCCAGACAGTAAGAAAGAAGACCCAAATCTCAGCAAGTGTGGATATCACTGTCCCTCCAGACAAAGGGTTCTGACATGGACTCAGAATGACATGGACTCATCCTGCTGTGACTTTAAGAACTACCTGGGGAAGACATCACCTGTCCAGTCGCAGGTGACTTCCCGAGTTATCAGCGATTGGGTGGGAGTCAAAGCCACGGGCACAGAGGGAGACATGGCCATGTCTTATGGTTCATTTAAAAATTTTTTCCTATTTTATTCCTGTACGAACCCAAATTGATAAAACCACAGAACTAAGAGATTATATTCACTTAGATTCCTCTCTCCCTCATTTCATTTATTTATTTTTACAAATAGATTTTTAAAAAACTTTTTTGGCTGCACAGCATGTGGGATCTTAGTTCCTCGACCAGGGATTGAACCCATGCCTCCTGCAGTGGAAACTTGGAGTCTTAAACCACTGGCCTTCCAGGGAAGTCCCACCCCCTCATTTTAGTAATTGTCTTCTCCCAGTCGACAGGGATAAACTTCGTACTTGCATCAGATCAGTTCAGTTCAGTCACTCAGTCGTGTCTGACCCTTTGTGACCCCATGGACTGCAGCACGCCAGGCCTCCCTGTCCATCACCAACTCCCAGAACTTACTCAAACTCATGTCCATCAAGTTGGTGATGCCATCCAACCATCTCATCCTCTGTCATCCCCTTCTCCTCCCACCTTCAATCTTTCCCAGCATCAGGGTCTTTTCCAGTGAGTCAGTTCTTTGCATCAGGTGGCCAAAGTATTGGAGTTTCAGCTCCAGCATCAGTCCTTCCAATGAACACCCAGGACTGATCTCCTTTAGGATGGACTGGTTGGACCTCCTTGCAGTCCAAGGGACTCTCAAGAGTCTTCTCCAACACCACAGTTCAAAAGCATCAATTCTTCGGCATTCAGCTTTCTTTATAGTCCAACTCTCACATCCATACATGACTACTGGAAAAACCATAGCTTTGACTAGACAGACTTTTGTAGGCAAAGTAATGTCTCTGCTTTTTAATGTGCCGTCTAGGTTGGTCATAGCTTTTCTTCCAAGGAGCAGGCATCTTTTAATTTCATGGCATCAGACAGTAGTAGATAATTATGTTAACAGGCCCCTGGCCACCTGTATCATCGTATTGCTGCCTCATTCCTAAGAAGACCATTGACTAAATCATATTGAGGTGCATAAACTTATGGTCTTGAGTTAAAATGTAAACATTGCACCACCTCACACCCATTATGACAGCTACTATTAAAAAAAAAACCAACCCAGAAAATAACAAGTGTTGGTGGAGAGAATACAGGGACATTGATACCCTTGTGCAGTGTTAGTGGAAATGTAAAATAATGCAGCTGCATGGAAATCAGTATGATGGTTCCTGAAAAAATTAAACATGAAGTTACCTAGTGTTAGAAGCATAAGTTTCTTAGTCATGTCTGACTCTTTGCAACCCCATGGACTGTAGTCCGCCAGGCTCCTCTGTCCATGGGATTCTCCAGGCAAGAATACTGGAGCATTCTTTCTCTTCTTTCACACTCCTGGGCCTTCCCCATGACTTTCAGAGATGGGGCCAAGCCAGACCCCACCCTCGGAGGAATCGGGCTGGTCAGTTTCATGGGAGAAAGTTCCTTGTCCGAAGCACCTGTGCAGCTGCTGTGGGCGGGCGAAGGCAGAGTTACCCAGTCATGGAGCACCTCAGACTCGGGTTCCTGGAAATGAGTGATGGGCCCGCAGGGCTGACCCCCCATTTCGAACCCCGAGCCCAGAGACGAGCATGACGAAAGGGGAGGCGGGCGTGCTGGCTGCGCCGTTTGCTTCCTTATCAGGAGGCTGATGCTCGGCCTGTCGGCTCCTTGTCCCCCGAAGGTCTGTGTGGTTTCCTCGTCCCGGCCGCAGTCTCCGGACCAGCTCTTGTCCAGGCAAGCGAGCGAAACTTCCGCCTCCCCTAGGACCTCGGACAGCAGCATGGTGCCCGTGGCTGACTTCGATTACCCGCCAGAGTTCTCCTCCTGCCTGGACAACTCTGCGGCCAAGCACAAGCTCCTCGTCAAGCCCCGCAACCAGCGGTCCAGCAAGATGAGGCGGCTGTCCTCGGTAACCGGGCAGAGGCAGGGTGGGCAGGCCCCAAGCACCCAGACACCCCGCTCCTCTCCTGCAGGGTCCCCATCCTCTGGGCCACCACCTACCCCGTGGGACCTAAGATCTGTGGGACCACAAGACCAGACTCCAGAAGCTGGGGGTGCTCGGGGTTTCAACCTAAGTCAGATAAGCCCCTCCCAACAAAAGCACTTATTTATTTGTTCGGTCATTCATTCTACAGCACATGCCAAGAACCTGCTGTGAGCCATGGGGCCCCTCCTTCCCACTGCCTTCAGTGTGATGTCCACACTGCAGGCCTGGCACGACCAGGCCCTGCCTGCTTATCTCCTCCTGTTCTCACTGAACGTGTTTTGACTTCCTTTCTTCTTTTGGAGCTCAGCAGGTTGTCACCCACCCCAGGCCTTAGGACCTTCTGTATCCCCTGCTTGGGACACCCCTATTCAGCCCTTTGGGGGGATGGGCTCCCAAGTCCTCCCTATGAGGTTCCCCCTGAGCATCCTGTGGAAAGCAGCCCCCCTGCCCGTCACCATGGGCACTTTTTCCATGGCACTGGCCACACACAGATGTGACCTTTGTAAATGGAAGGCACTTAGGTTTCGCTGATGGTTGATACAGTAAAGAATCTGCCTACAATGCAGAAGACCTGGATTCAATCCCTGGGTCGGGGAGATACCCTAGAAAAGGAAATGGCAATCCACTCCAGTATTCTTACCTGGAGAATTTCATGGACAGAGGAGCCTGGCAGGCTTCAGTCCATGTGGTCACAAAAAGTCGGGCATGACTGAGCAACTAGCACTTTTTCACTTTCTGTGAGAAGATTGTGCTCCTAGCCCCAGAGAACACTAGTCACAGAGATGCCATCCCTGTGGATGATAGTGGAATGCCTGAATGAATGATCAAACAGGTGAGTGAGTGAACGACCGGGAAGAAGCTGAACAACTAGAATGGACACTGCCTGGGGTGAGGACCCACCTAGCAGCAGCGGGGTGGTGCCCTGTAAGGACGGACCCCTCTTTAGAGGTGCTGCCCAGGGCAGTCGTCAGCTTGTCCCCCTGGGAGCTGAGAGCTCCCTTGTGCAGTGAATCAGGTTCATGGGACAGCTGTCACCGTCACCGCTGCCGTGCCTCCTCCCCAGAGGAGCTGAGACACAGGGTGTGGGGCCTGCCTGGCCACAGAGAATGACAGGGCTAAGAAAGGGATACTCAGAGATGGACATCCCTTCCTCCTTCCCTCAGGACAAGATCATGAGGTGTTGATGAGGTACCAGGGCAAGCTGGACACTTCAGCTGGAGGCAGTGGGTGGGCCCTCTCAGATTCCAGGGACGCCCTGGATAGAGTGGCTTTTCCTCTGGGCATGTGGAAGGCGCTTTTCTTTCTTTTCCTCCCTGTCTGTGTCTTGCTTATTATATTATGGAAGTGGTTTATAATTTATGTTTCAGAACTAAAATTCTAGAGTTGATATCGTTGCTTTACAGACTAGATTTTAAATAAAGGGAATAGTGATGAACTCAGAGATGTTATAATTTGCCCAAAGTCATGCAGTAAGTTTTGTTCCTCATCTAAAGGTTTACATGAAGTAATGTAGGATTTTCACATTCTTCAATTGTGGAAGACGCTTTTTAAACTCAGGCCAGCAGGATTGAATTCTGAGGGAAATAATGCTGCAGAAAGGAGGAGGCCATGTTACCTTCAGGCTAATGTCCTGTCCTGTCCCCCCTGCAGACTCGGGGGACCTAGGTATTTGGGCAAATGCTTATGTTTGCAGTGTCTCTCCAGTTAAAGGCTCAGTGCCATGGGGACTTGCAAGACCCAGTAACTCCAATCTGCCTGTCCTCATGATGACTGCAGCCACAGGACCAGGGCAAAGCCAGCTCCCTCTGGCCCTCAGGTCTGAGCTTCCTTCCCATGGGGATGTCTTTTGCCCTGGAAGAGGGTGTGTGTGGCCAGCCACTGACTGGCCAGGACTTGGCAGCGGGAAGCCTAGCTCGTAATCTAGGTGGAAATGCATCATCCTCTCTTACTGTCCCCTGGGCAGAGCTCTTACTCTTTCTTTACTTTTGAACTTGACTTAGGTTTTGAACCCCATTTTTTAGAATAAGAAGATTTCAGACTGATATACTGATTTACACAGACTGATTTAGGCAACTCTGTCTTCTGCACATCTTGCCCCCTTTCTGGGTCGGGAGCAGACATGGATACATTTTTGGGGGTGTCTGTATTTTCTGGATTGCACAGAGGTGTCACCTGTGTCACTGTTGGGTCCATGCCAGCTGCCTCCTTCCCGGTCCCCCACTATAACCCCTTTGGAGCTGTCAGTGGCTCAAGCTGGATGTACCCAAGCCAGGCCTGCTCCTCAACTTTATGCTGACTTAGCCTGAGTTCTAGTCATTTTAAAACATGACCCATATCCTAAAGGATTTCCACATCAAGGATTTCCTGCAATAACAAAAGACCAGTAAAACCTTGTGTGCTTGCTAAGTTGCTTCAGTTGTGGCCAACTCTTTGCAACAGTATGGACTGTAGCCCACCAGGCTCCTCTCTCCATGGGATTCTCCAGGAAAGAATACTGGGATGGGTTGCCATGCCCTCCACCAGGGGACCTTCCTGACCCAGGGATTGAACCCACATCTCGTACATCTCCTGCCTTGGCAGGTGGGTTCTTTACCAGTAGCACCACCTGGGATGCCCCAATAACACCTTAGGAACCTGCAACCTTTGAAAATTCTTCTGGGAATTTCACATATTCCTCTTTTCAAAACCAGAGGAATAGGGTTGTGCATCTTGGCACAGCTAGCTTTGGTGTCGTCACAAGCATCCCAGTTATCTTGTGTGAGCAAGCAGATGCCAGCTGGAAAGTGTTAAAATAACAACAAAACCTATCGCAGACAGTCCCCTGGGTGTCTCCTAAAAAGACCGGAGGAGGTCACTGCACATGTGCAGCAGCCAGGGTGAAGCTTGAAAAATCTGAAGACAGGCCTAAAGTCTTATTGAAAACACCAGCCTCAACGCTCTCAGCCTTTTGGTCATTTTCACATTTGCTTTTGAATGATCTCGATTACCTTGATCTCCTTTCCTTCCTAAAAGAGCAAGAATTGACTTCGTGGATAGCAGGGAGGAAGTGGACTAACTGTAGATTCCAGAGACCTTTCGGAAGAAAAATAGCACAAGTGTTAGTCTCTCGGTTGTGTCTGACTCTTTGTGACCCCATGGACTGTAGCCTGCCAGGCTCCTCTGTCTGTGGGGTAGTCATTCCCTTCTCCAGGGGATCTTCCTGATCCAGGGATGGAACCCAGGTCTCCTGCATTGCAGGCACACTCTTTGCTGTCTGAGCCACCAGGGGAGCCCCAAGCTATGTCTCATTGTCACACCACACCAGGCGAGGCTTTCTTCAGGAGTGAAACTGGAGATAGCTCTGGAGGTCCTGGGGAAACCCTGGAGGTGAGCGGGGAGCAGCCAGCCGACTAGTCTCTCAGATCCAGAATCTGGCACATACAGTGGCAGGGGCTTGGCTTGACCTGAGTAGGGAGTGGGAGAAATAATTTAAGACCGAAGAATACAAGACTTCAAATTTAGCTGAGAAGTTTGTGCTCTGTCCTGTCAGAGATGGTTTGCTATTGACTGTGTTGGACATGATATGAACTGGCTTTTAGGCAAACTAGCCTGCCTTCACTATGAGTGTACAACCCTGGAGAAAGAGGGCATTGACATGGGACATGGGCTCTGGGGCAGCACGGGGGTCAGAGGGAACAGCTTTGCCCCTCAGCCACCTGTTAGCTCAGTCTTGGCGGAGCCGGGGACCTCTTGGAGCTTCCAGTTCTCCAAGTGCAAAGGGGACATGAAAAGAAAGTGAAAGTGTCAGTGGCTTAGTTGTGTCCAGCTCTTTGCAACCCCATGGACTTTTTGTCCATGGGATTTCCCAGGCAAGAATACCGGAGTGGGTTGCCATTCCCTTCTCATGGGCATCTTCCAGACCCAGGAATGGAACCCGTGTCTCCTGCATTGGCAGGTGGGTTCTTCACCACTGGGCCACCTGGGAAGCCCTATGGGGAGGCCATCGGCTTCCTAATATTCGTCCATTGTCCCTTTACTTTCAGAGAGCACAGTCGGAATCCCTGAGCGATCTGACCTGCACCCCAGAGGAGGAGGAAGACGATGAGAAACCGCTACTCCAAGTCAGCAAGGAGGAGCCGCCCAGCTCTGGGCAGCAGGAGGCAGGACAGGACGGAGGCTCTGAGCCAGAGGGCCCGGCCACCGTGCTGCCACCCGCGGGGCCGCGGCTGCGGCGGGCGCGCCTGCAGCACTGCCCGGCGCTCACTGCCAGCACGGAGGAGGAGAGCCCCCCAGGGGAGAACCCGTCCAGTCACCCGGCCACCCCGGAGGGCACCCCGGAGGCCACCCTGGAGGTCATGGAGGTCACAGAGCCCCTGTCAGGCGGAGCTCCCCACTCGGAGTCCCCATCCCGCCCGGAAGGCTCCCCTCACCCCAACCCCGACAGTGAGAACCAGAGGGAGGACGTGTCCTTGGAAAGCGCGTGTCCCCCCGGCGGGGACACAGCGGATGAGGCGGTTTGTGCGTCGGGAGACAACGTCGAGGGTCGACTATCTCCCTGTGTCCCCGAGGGGGACACGACCCCTCTTGAGCCGGGCCCGGCCGCCACCCCGGAGACGCCTCCTGGTCCCGACGGAACAGACAGGGCGGGCCAGAAGGAGACGCTGCCGACGGTGGACTTGCCGGCGCCCGAGGGTGCAGGGCCGGAAAGTCCGGCCGCGGCGCCCAGCCCGCCGCCCCCCAAGAGCTGCCTGAAGCACAAGGCCCCCTCGCCGCCCGCCTCCGAGGCGCCTCCCCAGGTGCCCGGACCCCGATCCCCGGAGCAGGGGGCTGCCCCCCGGGGCCCCCCAAAGGCCGAGCGGGCGGGGTCCCCCTCGGGGGCCCCGGAGCGCAAGACGGAGCGTGGAGGCTGCGAGGCGAGCGGGGCCGCCAAGAAGTTCTCCGTGTCGTCTGGCCGGGAGTGGCCGCGCGCTGGAGGCCGCCTGCTGGAGCCCCGTGGCCCGGCCGTCCGGCTGCCGCTTCTCCGGAGCGGCCAGGCCTGGAAAAGCGAGGCCGCCCTCGACGACCTCCCGGGGGCCCCCGAGACCCAGGGCCCCAAGCCTGGCCCCCGGAAGTCGCCTGCCCCGGCCGAGCGCGGCTCTCCGGACACGGCCCACCCGGCTGCCCAGGAGCGGGCGACAGGCGGGGAAGGAGGCCCCTTCCCCGTCAAGCTCCGCTCCACGTCTCTGTCCTTCAAACACAGAGAAGCCCCCTGCCCGGAGGGGAAGGCCATCAAGAGGTACAGCGCGGAGGTCAGGCTGGAGAGAGGAGGGCTGAGCTTGCTGCCCAGGGACGACAGGGGTCCTCCGGGGAGCGGCCCCTCCACCCGAGGCGCCAGGCCCCCCAGTGAGCCCGGGAAGGCCAAGACCCGGCCCGCGGAGCAGCTCAGCTCCAAGCCGCCCCTGCCCAGGAAGCCCTTGCTACAGACCCTCACGCTCCCGCAGCTGCCCGCGCCCCCCGACACCAGCTCTGGGGACCCCGAGAAGGTGGGGCTGCCCATGGAGCCCCGGAAGGAGAGCCGGGCTGAGAGGAGGTCACCCCACAGGGCAGCTGGTAAGAGACCCCAAGTGGAGCGGCCTGGGGAGGGTGTGTGCAGAGGGGCAGGGGGCGATCAGGTCAGCTGGACCGTCTCTCTGGGCATCCCTGAGGTATGTAAATGCTTTCGGTGAAAACCTTGCTGCCAGAGAACTGGAAGAAAACTTAAAAATTTCTGTTGACAGCACTTACATATTTGATCAAGAGTTAGGAATGGAGGGGACGTCCCCGGTGGTCCACTGGTTAACACTCCTTGCTTCCAGTGCAGAAGGCACCAGTTCCATCCCTGGTTGGTGAACTAAGATCCCATGTGCGGTGTTCAGAGAAGTCAGGAAAATGTAGGAACATTCTAGGAGGAGGTGGGCTCTTCAGTGGACCACTCACATGCTTCTTCCCCCAGAGGCCCAGAGTCCCGGGACATGTGTGTTCTCTGGATGGAGGTCCTCCTGGGGCCTGAGCTGATTCTTAGTAATGAATGAAGCATCTGGCTGTGCTGTCACTTAGCATCATTCTGACCTTTCCTCCCAAGGAAAAAGCTCCTCCTATTTAACAGTCAGGCTCCCAGGGCCCAGCCTCACACAGGAAGCATCTTCTCTATTGGAGTCACGAGTCTGTGAGTTCCTCAGTGGGTTAGGTGTGAACTGTCCCCAAAGGGAGATGGTGTTAAGGTTGGGGTAGAAAGTAAGAAAGTCCTAAAGCAACTGCCTTTTAAAATAAGACACAAAATAGATGACCTTTCAGTGTCTTTGACATGCGTCACTATTTATAGCGTCTCATGAAATCTGTTGGAAATAGATATATTCGGCAGAGATAAAGAATCTCTTATGGCTGATTTCTTTTATTTATTAATGGTAGTTGGTGTGCCAAAAATGGAACTAGAAATGCCAGGTGTGTGTGTGTGTGTGTGTGTGTGTGTGAGTGTGAGGTATGGGGGCCCTAAGGAGAAATTTTCCGTGGTAGATTTTTATAAAACAGCACAACTTTCAGGATATTTTAAGTGGGTGCTGTGAGTCTAGGCCTCCTTTAGGACTCATTGTGGAACAGATGAAATAGAAGCCAGTTCTTAGGGATCCCACACCCTAAACGAGAGATGAAGGGCACACACAAAGACAGGTTCAAAGACGCTGTGGTCTTTCTCCTGAGATACTAGTAAAAGAGCAGTGTGTGAAGGGCTCTGTGTGGACAAAGTGGGGGAAGCAGAGGGTGGGAGGAACTGAGAAAGCAATGAAACACGCGCATCACATATATGAAGTATTAATGGCAGCTAGTGGGGAGTTGCTCTGTGACACCAGGAGTGCCCCCAGTGCCCCGTGACCACCTGGATTGGGCGGCGGGTGGGAGAGAGGTTCGAGAGGGAGTGGTTACACGTATACTTACGGCTGATTAACGCTGTTATATGGCAGAAACCTACACAATGTGGTAAAGTAATTATTCTCCAATTTAAAATAAATTTTTAAAAAATCAGAAAATTAAAAAAAAAAAATAGTCAGGGGCTCTAAATTCCTAAGGCAACGCCCAAAGATGCAGGTGAACTTTCCGGGAAAACATCCCCAAAAGATCCACCACAGGTAACTTTCCTGATTCAGACCCCTTGGCTCCACTGTAATTTGCATTGCTGCTGTTGCATTAGAATAATAGGGAGCTTTGGGGAAGGTTCAAACTGTAACTGGTAATCCACTCTGCAAATTTACAGATTATTGAAGCTACTATAGAGTGATTCGAAAAGCCAGTGAACTAGCCATGGAGGAGGGGGCTGCAGGTAAAACCCTGACATCAGCACCATGCACCTCTGTGGCCTAGAATTGAAGATGTCTTCTGTCATGGGCTTGCCAAATGAATGGAACTTAAACACAAGATACTCAGCTTCATGGTCAGAGCTGGAAAGGAAACTTCAGAGGGCGGTGCTTGACACATTGACGATTTATAACTTCCTCTGCCTAAGCTGGGAGGGCTTGGCCTTGTTCATTGTCAAGAACAGTTGGCTGGAATGGTCTGTAGTTAGAGGCCATAGAAAAAAACCATCTGTTTTTTTTTCTTTGATTAAGGTGGCACTAATGGTAAAGAACCCAGCCGCCACTGCAGGAGACGTCAGAGACTGGGTTCCATCCCTGGGTTGAGGCACAGCTGAACACAACTGAAGCAAATTAGCACAGCACATAAAGTACAATAAACACTTACTCATTTCTTTGCTTAAATAGTAGAAGAGAATTGTCTCATCTGTCTAACTTTATTAGCATTCCCTAAGCCATGGAAATAACTGACTCGGGTGAATTCTGGAGGGGAAGAATCTAGGTCACTATAGGGGGCACAGGGAGTGATTTTCATATCTGTGCAAAGAGAGGAGATACTTCTTACATTCTTTTGGGAACTGACCCTTGTTTAGTTGCTCAGTCGTGTCCAACTCTTTGCAGCCCCATGGACTGTAGCCCGCCAGGCTCCTCTGTCCATGGGATTCTCCAGGCAAGAGTACTGGAGTGGGTTGCCATTTCCTTCTCCAGACTTGAGGCATGAGAGCCAGCAGAGGGTGGGGCTGCTCTCTGGTCCCACCTGGGACCATGGAGTCTGGGGGCTGCCTCCCACAGGCCAGAGCAGAGTCTCAGAGCCCCGGCTCCGGAAGCCCATTAAGTGAAGCGGTCTCCACTCCTTCCCCCGACACTGGGTCTGCCCGTGGTTCAATTCGTTATTATAACTTCTGCTGCCGTCCTTGCTCCCAAATTATAGCAGCTGAAGGCAATTAAATTCACATAAAACAAACAGATAATAAAAAGTTGTAATAACATATTATCCAGTTTTCTAGAAAGGCCTAATTGTTGCTGTTCATTATCTCATTATGACAGCACCTTATCCAGAGCCCCAGATGGGCTGCCACCTCCCCTGTCCCCCTGAGGGGGTGTGACCATGAGCTGGGTGATGGAGGGGCCCCAGATGGGTTGTTGCAATAAACAGGATCCCAGCTTGCCACCTGGGCTGAGTCTCACAGGGCACCTTGGGGTGTTCACTGTGAGCCCAGCACATTTGTGCTTGTCGGCACAGAGACCGATTAATCTGCTCACTTCACTTGCCATAGCAGGTGAATGGCCCTGGATGTGTGCAGGACAGTCCCCACCCCCTGCTGGACCAATCTGTGAAGGTGAAAGTAGTGTCCGACTCTGCCATCCCGTGGACAGTAGCCCACCAGGCTCCTCTGTCCACAGAACTCTCCAGGCAAGAATACTGAGGTAGATGGCCATTCCCTTCTCTAGGGGATCTTTTCAACCCAGGGATTAAAGCTGGGTCTCTTGCCTTGCAGGCAGATTCTTCATTGTCTGAGCCAGCAGGAAAGCCCAAATATCGAGGAGCAACCACCCAGCATGGGGCTAGAACCCACGACCCTGGGATTAAGAATCCCATGTACTGCTGACTCAGCTGGCCGGGACCAGTCTGTCCCACAGTCTAAATTACCAGGCTGGAAGCACCTTTCTGCTCACAGGATTAGAATTAGCACAGAAAAAATGGTGAAATACTGAACATTTATAGAAAAAAGTCATCACTTTTAAGTTCATTCTCTAGATGTTATTCCTGTTGGCCTTCCTTCTAGTTGCGTGTGTGTGATTTATCTTCTATGTTGTGGTGGGCACTTGTTGGATATTTTGGAAAGTAGCTGGACAATGTGCTTTTCTGACGCCAAAAGGCAGTCAGGAAGAGCATGGCAGCCTTGCCATCCAGGAACTTAGGGCCTAGGGAGGCAGCAGGTGGTGAGTGTAGGTAGATGTCCCTCTTGTCTTTGGATGTCAGGGACATTTTCTGAAGGAAATGAGTTCAATAGGGTTGTCACCTTCTCTAATGGCAGTTATTTCAGTGTATTCAAGTTTGTTTAAGTAGAATACAAGGAGTTTGGTGCGTTTTGTTTTTTCTTTTTGGTGTCCTAAAAATATATTCATGTCTTTTATTCTTAAAGAAAACCAACTTCATTCACACCTACCCTTCTTTTTATTCTTCTCCTTCCCCCCACGGTCCCTTCCTGGCAAGTAAGTGTGGCCCACACTCTGGGCCTCAGTTTCCCTGCCTTCTCTGGGCTCCTCAAACCGTGTGCATCTGCTTATCCCTGCCTGCTTCCCAGTGCGGTAACTCTCCCCCACAGCAGAGCCAGGATGGGAGCCGTACCCCCTCAACAGGTGTGGTTCTGGTGTCCTGAAGGTCGCCTTCTCTCACCACGCTGAAGCTCCAGTACTTTGGCCACCTGAGCAAAGAGCCAACTCACTGGAAAAGACCCTGATCCTGGGAAAGATTGAGGGCAGGAGGAGAAGGGTGAGACAGAGGATGAGATGGTTGGATGGCATCACTGACTCAGTGGACATGCATGTGTGATAAGTTGCTTCAGTCGTGTCTGACTCTGTGCCACCCCATGGACTGCAGCCTGCCAGGCTCCTCTGTCCATGGGATTCTCTAGGCAGGAATGGGAGATGGTGGAGGACAGGAGAGCCTGGCGTGCTGCAGTCCGTGGAGTCACAAAGAGTCGGGCACAACTGAGTGACTGAATAACTGACTACAAAGGGGTAGCAAGAGAGAATTTTGGGGGGTGTTGACGTTGTTCTGTGGCCCATTTGTGGTGGTTGTCACAAGAATCTTTAAGTCTATATTCAAACCCAGAACTGTATGACAGAAAAATGAATTTCACTATGTACATTTTAAAATCTTTTAAATGACACAAAAAGATGTAGTAGCCTCCTCTCCACCCACCTATGAACTTCCCTAACTCCCTCCCACACACATATACATGCAAAACGCATCACCACTAATAGATTCATCCCTATTCTTTCTCTTGCTGGTTGTGGTCATAGTTACAGCAATATTGACAGGCAGGTGCAGCAATCTTTTTTTTTTTTTAGTTTTTATTTATCTGGGGGGTCACACCAATGGGGATACAGGATCTTAGCTCCCCAACCACAGATTGAACCTGCGCTCCCTGCAGTGGAAGCACAAAATTTCAACCACTGGACTGCCAGCGAAGTCCCCAGCAATCTTTTTTTTTTTTTAGT